CAGAATTGAACTAGTTTGAGGGCAGATTTTGCTTTGCCAAGCATATAACTGGTACAGACTTAATGAAATATTTCCATTTTTTCAAAAGGATTCCATTCACAGTTTGTCTTTGTATTGCATAGGAAGCCAGCAAGATAGCAATCATTTCAGATTTTATTCCCCTACTAGACTATAGACTTGTCAATTGTAACCAAGACCGGAGGCTCCGGATAGAAACTGTAATCACTTTTTATCTTCTCTGCCACAGTGAATGAGAACAAAATTTCTAAAGGGTGAATTTAAAGTGGAAAATGTACTTTATATTCAGCTGAGGGAGAGAAACCGGTAGCTAGATAAAGAATAGCAAAGGAGAGTTACTTTTCTTCATTGTGAAACGTATTCTTATTATGCTCAGGATCACAAACCCCTTTCAGGATGATTATGGACTAAAACTCCAAGGCAGGAAGCTTGTGCTGTCTGTCTCCAGGCTTTGAAAAATAGTCAAGTGTAGTCACTACGGGTAAATCAATAAATCGGATTGGAACCCAAGACACAAAACTATGTTACAACTCACAACTCCCTTTGCCTTCCCTCCTTGAGCTGTTCTCTCTGCACATCAGAATTTCCACCGTGTGTTTCTGCATTGATTACTTCCTGGCCCTCCTGCCTCTGGAAAGAGATGAGCTGGCAAGGATGGATTGCTGGCTCAGCACCAGTTGTAAGTCACCTGTAGCCTTACTCTATGAAAGCTGCTTTTAGTGGCTCTTTTTGTAACTTGACAACAGAAAATAGATATAAATTTGCCATGGAATGTTTTCCCTTAAGGCCAAAATTTTTCAGCAGTTTTTAGTACCTAAAATAAGACTAAAAAAAAAAAAGTTTTAAGGCTCTACTACCTAAAACTGAAAGCATTTTTATTAACTAGCTTCTTATCCAAATGATACTCAAGAACAAGTGTGGCATTGGCTTCTTCATAATTTAAATGTAGAACTCAGTTAACTTGTTGAAGAGAATATTATGTTTGGTCTGATGAATTTACTTCAATTCAGGTTCTCCTCTGTGGTTTTCAAATGTTTTTGATTGAGTGATTCACTTTTTTTCAACCAATAACATGTCTCTTTGACATTATTACACCAAGAAAAGTCATTTGAAATTTCAACAATGCGAGGAAAAAACAAACAAAACCAGAAAGTAACTTATTTTCACAGTTTCTGAGAAGGGGGGCTGAATTTATATAGTATTTGGGCCATGCTACAAAAGATAATTCTCCACTAGTATAGTGTTCTAACTAGTGACACTTAGCAATGCTCCATCAATCCATTGATTTGACTCAAGGATAAACACTTTGGGAAAACTTAGGTAGGCTGATCTCGTAAGCCAGTGTGTATGAATTTTCTAGAACAGGGTATATATATCTTAGTATGATCTTAGGATCATTTTAGATTCAGAATCATCCAAGGTTGTGATATAAAGGAGAAATTCCCATGCTTCACTCCAGATTTTTAAAACTAAAATCACCAGTATGCTATCAGTAAATGCAGGAAATACATTTGATAAAATGTAGTAGTCATTCAAAATAATTTTCAGTGTACTAGGACGAGAGGGAACAAGGTGTATTAGTTCTATCTGTCCCTCTACCTATTTCTCTATGATATTAACAAACCTATTCTGAGGGTTCTGTGGAGGGCAGAGGATCCAGAATAGCTAACATGATACTGAAGGAGAGCAAGGTTGGAGGACTGACACTACTGTTTTGAGACATTACAAAGCCTTAGTGATCAAGACAGTGTGATGTTGGTGAAAAGTAAACAGGTCAGCATGAGATATTCTAGAATAGAATAGAGCGCCCAGAAATAGCTCAACATAAGCACAGTCAACTGATCTTTGACAAAAGAGCAAGATGATTCAATGGAGAAATGATGCAGCAAATGGTACTGGAATGACTGGACATCACGTGTGAAAAAATAGCACTGACACTGACATCACATCCTTCATGAAAATTACCTCAAAGTGTCTCACAAGCCTAAATGTGAAATACAAATTTATAAAACTCTTAGAAAATAGCAGGAGAAATCTAGATGACCTTGTGTTTGGCAATAACTGTTTCGTATAACATTAAAACCACAATTCAGATAGAATTGAGAAGCTGGACTTCTTTGAAATTTAAAATTTCTGCCTGCAAAGAGACTGTCGAGAGAATTAAATGATGAACCACGGACTGGAAGGAAATATTTGCAAATGGAACATCTGATAAAGGACTGGTATCCGAGATATGCAAAGATTTCTTAAAATGTAATGATAAGCAAACAACCAACTTGATTAAAAAATGGGACACAGGGCCTTCCCTGGTGGTGCAGGTGATTGAGCGTAGTGCTGTGAAGCTGTCCGCAGCCTCTGCAGCATGGGTTCGATCCTGGTCGGCTGGTGAGAATCCCACATGGCGCAGCAGACCTCTCCTGTCTCACCCGCTGCTCCCCTCAGCAGTGTATTTCAGTGAGTCTGCCTGTTCTGTTCCCCACTCTGTCTCTAGTGAATCCTCTCACCCTCCTGCACATCTGGCCTGTACCCCGGTTCTTGTATGCATGAATAAAATAAATCTTAAAAAAAAAGGGACACAGACCCTTATGAGCACCTCACCAAAGAAGATATACAGGTGACAAATATGTGAGAAGATGCTCCACATTTTCAGTCATCAGGGAAATGCATATTTAAATGAGTTATGTTTCTACTCTTACTAGAATTGTCCAAAAGCCAGAACATTGTCCATGCCAAAAGCTGGGAAGGATGTAGAACAATGGGATTTTTCATTCCTCATGGGTAGTTATGCAAAATACTATAGCCAATTTGGAAAATGGTCTAGTGGTTTCTTACCAAAGTAAACCTACTCTTAACATACCATCCAGTGGTAATATTCCTTCATATTTACCCACAGGAGTCAAAAACTATATCCATACAAACACCTGCACACTGATATTTATGGCAGCTTTATTCATAATTGCCAAAAATGTGTGGAAGCAACCTAGATGTCCTTTCAACGTGGGTGGGTAAATAAGTTGTGGTATGAACAATGGAATGTTATTGGGCATTAAAAAGAAATGAGCTATCAAAGCCAGAAAACACATGGAGAAAACTTAAGTTCATGTTACTGAGTGAAGGAAGGCAGCCTGAGGGGAATCCATGCTGTGTGATTCCAACTACACAACTCTGGAAAAGGCACAACTACACAGACAGCACAGAGATCGTTGGTTATCAGGGTTTAGGGGAAGGAGGCACACACGGGTGGAGCGCAGAAGATTTTTAGGGCAATGAAAGTACTTTGTATGATTCTATAATAGTCGACAGATGCTTTATCCATTTGTCCAAACGTATTGCATGTGCAACTCCAAGAGTGAACTCTAAACTCTGGACTTTGGAGAGGGATGATGTGTCCACATAGATTCATCAAATGTAACAAAGTGCTCTTCTGGTCGAGGGAAATGAACATGGGAGAGGCTGTGCATGTGTGGGGCAGAGGTCATTTGGGAAATTTAGGGGGTTCCACTCCATTTTACTGTGAACCTAATAATGCTCTACAAAATGAAATCAATTTTTAAAAAATCAAGAAAAGATGACTGGATTATTATGCCCATAGACATTCCACTCAGGGGTCAGCAGACATTTTCTATAAAGATGCAAATAGTAAATACTGTAAGCTTCACAGAGGACATATGATCTCTTTTGCATATTGTCCTTTGATTTTTGATAATTCTTTAAAAAAATGTAGAAACCATTTTCAGTAGACTGTCCTCACAAAAGCAGGTGTCAGGTTGGATGAGCCCGCGAATCCTAATATGCTGATTACTGGATAGTACAATTAGAAATACTGGTCTTAGAAATGAAGTTATGAAAGCACATCTTACAAACAAAACCTGTAAAATACTTTTGAGCACTTTCTGGTATAGCAAATAATACATTAGAAAATATATTTGAAACTTCTGATTAAAATTATATTAATCATTGCATTAATCATCTCCCTTAATATTCCCAACATAGCAATGCTGGGTAAAATATTTTAAAATATTTAAGGTATGTGGATGTTATATCATACGGCAGAGAACACATGAAGAGGGGAGAAAGGTTATATCTAAAAGGAAAATGAAACTTCATGAAAGGTGGCCAGTAAATTCACTAAGTAGGTCAACTATTACTTAGAAAAATACAAAGACAAAGGCAAATTTGCAAAAGAGATTTTTAACATAAATGGTGAAATTCCAAAAAGGCTACAGGAATAGGTAGCATCCACTAAAAAAGAAAAAAGATTCATGAAATACAAACATAGGACTTAGGAACAGGAAAACAAAGAAGGACCATTAGCAATCCATAAATTAAAAATTATGGCTATTTTTAATTCATAGGTGAACACGGCTGAAGAGATAATTAATAAATCTTGAAGACCCAAAATGCCATATGCCTAATATGTGTCCCCAAATTAAAAATATCTATAATCATTGGAAAGAGCATATATTTGAAGAAATGAGAGTATCTTCTACATCAAAGATGTATGTCCTCAGAGAGTGAGCCAGGTGGTCAATATGAAGTAAACATTCAATCCCATATTCATTGTTGTGACCTCTGCCTATGTGAAAACTGTGTGTGAAATAGAAAGCAGTGCTTTCTTGCTTTTCTCTTCAAAACTTGCATGCGTGACCCATCAACTAGTTTTCAGCCCCCATTTGTCCCATTAGCCATAGTCCTTGGGAGAGAGAGTACAAGAATCACAGAACTTACATGGTGTGACCCTAGGTGAAATGGAGAATCTAATTATGACCTGTTTTACAGATTTCCTACAAAGTAGCAACAATTAAGCTGACTCTAGTTGTTGTTACTGTCTTTTAATGATTTTTCATGCTAGAAGCATAAGAATAAAATCTTTTAATGCTTACGACTTAAATCCTAAAGGTCATTACAGCACTAAATGACCATTCAAGAAAAAGGACAAAATAACGTTTTAGATGCAACCTAATAGAATTTACCTTTTACAGATTCTTACTGAGAGAGCTACAAAAGGATGGACTTCAGCCAGAGAGAAAGTGAACCCCAGGAATGGAGTGGGATATAAGCAATAGTGGTGAGTAAAACATGGACACTGAGTCCTCACTTACCAGACTCATAGGTTTTTGGAAACTGCACCTTTAATTGAGAGGACCTGTAAATGATGCAGGTGAAGATTGTTTTTTTCCTTATTCACATTATAATAAAATGACTTTAAGCAAAGGATGTTATTCAAGGACCTGCTGTACCTTATTTATAATGTAAAACATGGCAATTTTACTGAAAATTATAAAATTAGATCAACTGAATTTACTTCAGTTGAATTCCTTGCCTATGGTTTCAACTATTTTCAATATAGTGAGCTAGTCTTTCTCAATTATTACTTATTTCTCTAAATAACAGGCCATATTATAGGAAGCAAAGATAAATAGTTGAAATTTCAATAATGTGAAAAGAAATATAAAATAACTGTGTAAAACTCGAGGAAATCTCGAATGCTTAGAAAAGTGCTTATTATATAAAAGGTGCTCAAAAATATTTCTTTTTTTAAAAAAGATTTATTTATTTATGCATACAAGAACTGGGGTAAAGGCCAGAGGTGTGGGGGGTGAGAGGATTCACCAGAGACAGAGTGGGGAGCAGAACAGGCAGACTGACTGAAATACACTGCTGAAGGGAGCAGCGGGCAAGTCAGGAGAGGTCTGCTCTGCCATGTGGGTTGCTCCCTGGCCGGCTGGGGATCGAACTTGTGCTGTAGAGGCTGCAGTTTGCTCATAGTGCGGTGCTTAACCCCTTGTGCCAACAGGGAGGCCCTCAAAAATATTTCTTGAGTGAATAAATATATAAATTAAATTTTAAGAAAACTTTCCTATAACAGACACTATTTTGCTAGGATTCTTTTTTAGCACATAGAACCTTATCCTTGGTTGCCATAAGACAAGTGATAGAAATGAAATTGCGCTTAAATACATGTTACAATGTCTTTAAAGAGATAATAGCAAAATTCAAAAAATAATGCTGACTCCAATCCAGCATTATTTTTTGAATTTTGCTATTATCTCCTTAAAGACATTGTAACATGTATTTAAGTTGGGGTCAGAATGGGGGGATTGCAATTGTATGGGGAATATAAAAATAAAAGTTATTAATTAAAAAAAAAAAGTTCATCATACAAAATGGAGAAAGAAAAAAATATGTAATTACTGATTAAAAATGTCATAAATAAGTCAGTTCAATCAGTGGAAATTTGATAAGCAGTAAAATTTTGAGCAGACAAAAAAAAAAAACAAAAAAACAAAAAATAATGCTGGCAGTGACGTTTTCTGTAGAGTTGTCTTCTAAAACCTTAAATGAATCTTAGGTTAAATAATTTTTTTACTTTTTTCCTGGTAACAAAAACTATGGTTCTTGGTTAGAAAGGAGGAACATTTTTAAAGATAAAGTTCTTACTGAAGTATTCTTTCAGGATATATCACCTAGTTATTTTCTTATGGAACAGACATAAACTCACCTTCACTTGCTCAGTCTTAAAGCAATTTCTGTGTCCAGGCTGAATGGATGCCCTATTATTATTTAGGGTCCTCTCAAAGGTTGGCTTAGCAGCCCCATCCTGGGGGTGAAATTACTGTCTGATTGTCTTGGCAGAGTGAGTCCATTTCTTACACACTTGCTCCGTATCACCTTGCTAGTCGGCAGTCAGGCATAAGGGTGCCAGCACTACCAGGCAAGGTCCTGGGCTTGGGTAGGGCAGTAGCCCATGGTCAGTCTACTGGAATTGATACATTTTTTAACATGTACAGCAAGGATTCTAGTGCTTTGGGGTTTCAAATCAACTGTGGAAATTCTTTTGTTTACCCTTTCAAAGTCATCTTGAGCTGCCTGCTTTGAAATTATGAGAGAGGGGACCCTTGTCTATTTTCTTTCAATCATATTTAAAAATCTTTCAATAAATAGTATGGTGTTTTTCAATGTGGTGAAATGAATTCATACATAGAATGTCATCTTGACAGTAAGACAGATATCTCTATGAGCACTTACAGGGAACTGGGAGCATAAGGAAGGATGTAATTTAGCGACCATTGAAGAGCTGGAGACTGAGCAGCCCTTGGAACAAGAGGATTGAGGATGAGGGCTTGTCAGTCAGGAGCTGAACATCTAAAAAGAACAACTAAATTTTCACAGGAATTCCCTTGGGTTCAGAGGAAAAAGAGGTTAGGATTATTAAAAGTTAGAAACGTGGACCAGACATCTAAGGGGGTATATTGGTACCTCAGCAGGGCCTCAGGGTGCTCCCTCCCCCTGGTCACCTAACCTTTGAGGAGGTAGCCCTGTCACAGGCCACTGGGGCCTGTGCAGGGCCACGGTAGTGCTGGCTCAGCTAGTATTGGGGGAAAAACAAAATTTTTTTGGAATTGGGATTCCAAAAAAAGTGGAATCAAGGTCGCACTAGAACCACCACACCAGGTGAGTCTTGGTTGGGTGGTGTTGAGAGTAACAGGGATGCAAACAGACTGGAAAGGACCAGAAGGACAGTATCACCTCTCTCTCCTGGAGTGTCTGCTGTCTCTCTAGTGCCCTCTTCTGGCAGAGCCCAGCAGTGAGCCAGCCGGGACCGGCATGCTTTGCAGTCCTATCCACAGAACCACAGAAAGCGAATAGGTTTGAAGCACAGATGTGATAGCTTAATAGAGAACACAGGGGGAAAAAAATAAAAACTTCCTTGTCTTGCTAGTCCTTACATGTTTATATCATAAGAGGTATGTTCGACACATTTGGCTTTCAGTCTAGGGAAAAGTAATCATCTTCCAGAAAATAATTTTCTTGATGACTTGAAAAGTTGTGAAAAGAAAGTAGTTGGGTGGATGGTTGACTGACCTACGTGTGCTTTTCCCCAGTTCCTTAAAACAGCTGAAAGGGATGTATTTTTAATACTATGAGCGATATTATGAAAAGATACTTCATTACAGAAAAAAGCAGATGGGGAAAAAAGAGAGTAGACGAATCTGAGTTGTGCAGCTCAGCACTGTAGCAGCGGCCCAGCCCACAGGAGAGAGAGGGGGCTCCCCTCTGCAGCCGGGAACGCTTCCCAGGGAGCAGCGACCTCAAGTCCATGTCTGCAAGAAGCAGGGAGGCTCCGGGAACACTGAGGTCTGTGACAGTGTGATTCCTTTCTAAGGAGGAGAGCCAGTCAGTTGCCCACTTTTCCTCAGTGGTGCTGAGCAGTGGGCTGTAACTGTTCACTGTCAGGATGAGATGAGGTGTGTAAAGGCCTGAGAGGGAGTCCATTGCATGGGGGTGTGACCTCCAGGGAGGGCCAAGGTGCCAGGAAGCCAAAGACTGGTTACAAAAAGTTAGGGTGGGTTGATTGTCGGAATTGTGTATAATTAGAAAAGGTGACTTCTCTAAATCTGAGTCTGTCACTGGCTTGCGACATGCCTACTCTGTCCCACAAGCTCCAGAGCTAACTATCCAAGAAGGAACAGCCATCTCAGACAGACCAGTGAGTGACTTTGAGCACAGGTTGACTGGGTGGCCCAGGCATTTATGAGGAAGCCTCTCATACAAGAGAGTCACCAGCTTCACCGAGTAGATGACTTTGCAGCTGAAAATATATTTCATTTAGAAGATGAAGATATAAGGGGCCTCCCTGGTGGCGCAGGGGTTAAGCACAACACTATGACACAATCCGCAGCCAGTGCAACAGGACTTTGAGCCCCAGCCAGGGAGCTACCCACATGGCACAGCAGACCTCTCCTGTCTCACCTGCTGCTCCCCTCAGCAGTGTATTGCAGTCAATCTGCCTGTATTGCAGTCAATTTGCCTGTATTGCAGTCAATCTGCCTGTTCTGTTCTGTTCCCCACTCACTCTCACCCTCCTGCATCTCTGGCCTGTACCCCAGCTCTTGTATGCAAAAATAAATATTTTTTTAAAAAAAGAAGATGAAAATATAGGGGTAACATATACACATATTCATGCCTATATGCCACACACATATGCACACATAGGTGGTCATATGCATAATGTACACTTTTAAAAAAACCAAAATAACCTTATTTTGCTCCGTTTCAACTACTGGAGAAGGTCTAATTACTTTGTGGTGTTACAAGAAACATGAAGCAGTTGGATCTTTGAATCCATGTACAATCTAGGGGAAGATGGGACAGAGAAATAAGTTCCATTTTAGCTACACACAGGAGTGGAGACACCAGGAGAACTGGGCTTGCCTTCATCCTGCTTTAGTTTCAGGTGGGGTTGCACTTGAAACACATGACAAGATCTTTTGTCTTTTTGCTTGGATTGAAGGCCAGGCATGTTAGACAGATACAACAGACGGTTTCAACAATAGACTGCAGGGAAAAACTGGCTCAGCCACAATAGACGTTAACAAGTTTGACTTAGAACTAAGTGGTTGCATTTCTTTTGAGATGGCTGAGTCATTTGTTTTTTAAAAAATACTAAAGATATATCAATATTTAAATTTCTAATTTTTTTGAAGAGTTATTTATTTACACAAGCACTGGGTACAATAAGAAGCGCTGGAGGGTGAAAGAATTCACCAGAGCCAAAGGGGAGAGCAGAACAGACAGACTGACGAAGTACACTGCTGAGGGAAGCAGCGGGCGGCAGGAGAGGTCTGCGCGCCATGCGGGATCCTCACCCGGCAGCCGGGGATCGAACCAGAGCTACAGAGGCTATGGGCAGCTTTGCAACCCAGCGCTCAACTGCTGTGCCACCAGGGGAGGCCCTTAAATTTATTTCTGAAGCAGAATTATGAAAGGTTTCTGACGGAAATTGATAATGGTAAAATCCAAGAAGCAGTGGTATCCTTATTGTAAATTTCTTATTCAGTCTCTTCACATAATGGTAAATGACACTGAGATTTGCCATGCCGATAATGAACACCATGGTCACATTTATTAGCCTTACAATAATTTTCTAAATCAAGTTTAAATTTGTCAATTATGCTTTAAAAGCTTTAACAGTGATTTGAGAGAAAATTGAGGCTGAGTTGGTTGCCTGAATTTTGTATAATTAGAAAAGGTGAATTCTTTTTTCTTTCTGGATTATTTCACTGA